AACTGTGAGACATTGAGACCTAACACAGTATGTACAGAAGCAAGGAATTAACAGTCAAGATTCAGAAAACAAGTGATCTCGACAGGATATGAACGAGTTTCACCTTCAATCCTTGGTAACCATAAATTTTTCCATCTTCTTCAAAAAAGTGAGTCAAGTCAACTGGCTCTATGCAGAAGCTGTCTGGAGAATCCACTTCTTCTTTGCTAGAAACTAAATGTTGGAAACCAGAAAAAAAGGCAAGCTAAGGCTCATCAGATTACCAATGACATAACAATTTAAACATAAAAACACAACCAAAATCAAATACAATCGCAAAAAATTGTCCTGCCCATCTATTAAGCAACCCATCTCTCAAATTTGCTTCACTGAAAACCAAGCACAAATGAGGCCAGCGTGGCCAGGCTCAAGGTGGTACACAGATTGTAAAAGATTATCACATAGCAAGGACACTGAGCCTATTAATATAAATTTAACTTTAATATACAAGAAAATATGACATATGAATAAGCTTGAATCACATAATAACTCACAAGCCATAACTAAGGGCTCCAACATATTGCCAATTTTGAAATTTCTGCAAGTACAGTCAACAAGAGCTTTCTCTTATAATAATCTGCAAACAAAAATCCCAGCCTACAGACGAGATCTTAAGTTCCAAATTCAATGAAATTCAACCCATATTAACACATTACAGCAGGTTGACCTCCCCCCCCCCCCCAAAAAAAAAAAAAACCTCATTACAACAGTGTCTCTATTAAGTCATTACAAATTTTTGCGGTATCATTTTGACATTAAATATAACATACATCGCACATGAAGTGATTGGCGTTTCAGCTTTAAAAGTTAAATTAGGAGGATAATACTACAAATTTGGAACTGGTCATCCCCAAGTTCCAATACCAAGATTTCAATTCCATACTTATCTGACACGACAATAAGTGACTGTATATGACACACACACACACACACAAAGACAGGAATCTAACAAGTCCACGGGTTCTTTAAAATAAGTGTGATATAAGCTAAAAATCATGAATCAACTACAACACAAACACAACAAATTAGTCTCACAATATATGGAAAAACCAAGAAATTATACCCAGAAAAATTTTGATGCACTCGTTAGATTCAACTCCAGCATCTACACCGAAACAATTAGAGAAAAAGAAGTGAATAAGGGAAGAGAAAGCAAGTAAAATGTGCGAAAAAAGAATACTCCGAAGCCAGAGAAAAAACAGAGGACGAAGTGAATCGGAGGCGACCTCACCTATTTTGGCAAAACCGACACGCCTTTTCTTCTTGGGGTCGGTGATTGGGTCGGAGGACTGGTGCTTAGTACCCATTTTTCGCGGTTAGGGTTTCGTCGGAGCGGGAAATGTGAGAGGCGGGAAAATATAGGAGCGATATGAACTGCAATTGTGTACATCTATATGTAGACACGCTCGCCCAAAAATAGCATTGCTTAATCCCAAATCCCAAATTCCCAACTCCACACTCACTCTTTAGTCCACACGAGCGTGCTTTGCACGTGACATTGGGCTTAACTACTCTCTCTCTCTCTCTACAATAATTTAACTTGGGCAGTGTTGGGTAACCTTTTGTTTTTGTTTTTATTTTATGGCAAAATAAAAAATAAAAATATGTTTGGTGAGTATTTTTATTTTTTTTAAATTGCTCTATTTTGAAAACAATGCTAAAATATAAAAACATCCAAAATGATATTTTTGAAAAGGGATTGTGGGGGTGGTGTTGGGTGGTAAATTTTTGGAATAATACCAAACATATATTTTTATTTTTATTTTTATAATTTTTTAAATATAAATGACTACCAAATATATTTTATATTTTTATTTTTTATCACAAAAAAACAAAAAAATATTTTTTTTATAAAAAAAATATAAAAATAAAAACTTTACCAAACACATCCTTAATTAACACTTAAGGTGGTTCAGTGGTTGAGTTTTACATTTAATAATATACAGGTTTTTTTTTCATCTTCCTTAAAGGTTAGTCACTCTTGTGACATATTTTAACCGAATTCAAGTTACGGTGACTAATTACTGAACTCAAAAGAATGTTTGACACAAAACTTGAATATCACGTAACAAAAACTAATAATTTAACGTGATTGATTAGGTAATTATAGTTTTTGAGAGGAATGATTTGAGTAACTTTCTCTTCCAATTACCAAATTCCCATAGTATTGATCCAACTAATAATAAATAAATAAAACAATGTTTTATCCAATCTATTCACAACACTCAGGCTTGACAACTAATAATGGATTCTTGTTACTCCACTCTCTCATGCTCGTAGCCAATAACTCACAAATAATTTATAATATATTCTCTTAATATATATGAGATTTTATGTTTGATAAAAATCTCGTATAACATAGGAGTGTAGTTGATAAAATAATTTTGATATCGTTTCTTAGTTTTCAGTAACATCATGTCATACTAGAAATTGAATTAGAGTGATGATAAGTGTGTATTTGTCAATTCGATCATGTCGGGACTACTCTTTCTAAATTCAGCATAAAAATGCCATCACTTAACTATTTATAATACTTTATACGGAAAACAGGCGAATTAGGAAAATGGAAGGTGAGAGGCATAGCAGTAGGTACCGTTTTCAATATGACCGTTAGAGTTTTATGCAGACAAGGGCGTTTGGTCTAGTGGTATGATTCTTGCTTTGGGTGCAAGAGGTCCCGAGTTCGATTCTCGGAACGCCCCATCTAATAATCCATGTTTTTCAACCTTTTTTGTGGCTTACAGTCTCTAAAATGTTATGCTGAGCATTTGCCTCTTTATAAAATTGCAGTTTACCTTTTCCTTTTACCATGTTCAAGTTTTACTCAATAAACCCTTGCTTTTTCTAAATCTTGGGGACAATAATTGACAAAATTATTTGTTGGTAATTACAGCGTTTTGTTGTTTATCGACGCTTCTTTTCACTTCCCCATCCGTTTCAGTAAGTTTTTTAGGAGGGAAGGAGGATAAGACTTGAGAGGAAATAACTAATAGCAAAAAGCTTCCATCAGGCTTGTTCTCTTCAAAACTCCCAAAAAGTACTCCATCATAAAGACGCCCACCGTATAATTTACTAGTGTCAACATCAAGAAAAAGCCAGACTGTAACACCCAGACAGAAAGAGAGAAGCAAGACCAGAATGGAGGGAGAACCATCTCAACACACGATGCATACCAGACGGAGGTAAACAACCACACAACCTTTTTGTTTCTTCGTTCTTCATTCCTCACTTTGAACAATTATTCAACTGGATCATACACTGGAACAGATTCACATGCGGGTACATTTACGGAAAAGCTGGCACAACACCATGGGTTTGGAGTTGAACAACTGGTTGGTTGAAACCTAACGTCTCGACATGATCATGGAAATTTCAGGTAAAGGGTAAATATTGAAGCTAATGAACAACCGTATAAGACTATAAAACCTACTAGACATCCAACGTCAACAACAAATGGTAATGAAAAATTTGTCACAACAGATCCACTGGATCCAAATGCTAACAAACTCCAATGATCGGCAATTCGGACAGCCAGATTAGATGCCATCAGAAATCCAAGCATCTCGAGTTCCTTCTTTCCATGTTCCCCATCTCCACCTCACTCTTGAACAATGAGCCATACAACTTGACCAAAGGCTGATAGCATCATTAGAATCAACATTACGGTGGATGAGCAATGCCATATCTGACAAGTCAACGTACTTCTCCAAGACAAACAAAATTAAATGCAGCGTAAACTCAACATCATACAACACTAAATATGCGGTAATATCTTTCAATCCCTTTGACTGACCTGTAATCTTCAAACTTTGTCGCCAAAAAACCATCTCCAGCTGTGACCAAGCCTCAGGGCCAAATGTAAGAGAAGTCAAATCAGGAAATTTACGGAACAATACCTCAAGGGTTTCCATTTCAATAGAATCTACCCTTTTAAGTGACTCTACTGCTAGATTTTTGATTGTTCTACCAAATGGAAGTGTGCTAAGAAGGTTGTGGAGATCAGTAGATTCAAGCTGAAGATTTTTCAGATTACAAAACTCCTGTACTCTAAAGTCACTTGCCTTCTCAAGTGAAATGTGGAGATCAGACAGCAATGGAGCTTCAATGATGAGTGCTCTTGGCTTCACACATTGGAGTTTGAGTTTGACAAGGTTGGGGGCTATTATAGTCACCAACCTGGGAGCATTAGACATTGTCCATTGACATCTTTTAAGGTGCAACAGATGAATTTTGGGTTCTTTAAGTCCTCCGACCCCTATCAAGTTAAGAACACGTAATGATGGGAAGCAATCGTTCACCTTGTTTAGGTTCTCATCATCTAGTCTTATAAATTCAAGCGTCAAACAAGTAAGCGTAGGCATTGTACTCAAACCATCCACTGACAACCAAGCACTTTTAACTGCTAGCTCAGTAAGACTGTGACCTGCACTCACAGAAACAAGGCTCAAGCTCAATTGCAAGCAATGATATACTAGTAAAGAGTGTTTTGACAATGATCACAATCAAAATAGTGATAAGATTGAGATAAAACACAACAATGAGGAAACTTCAAATAGGCAAGGGTCAAGAGCTGATCAGTGTCAAATATACTAAATTATCTGTCAAATTTCAAATAAATGGAATTGACACCCTAGACCCATTTCAAAAAATCACCAAATGTGACGATAGGTTCACAATGAATGTTGGTCATGAATTCCAAAGGGGATGAAACTCAATAAAGTGGAGCATAAAATTTCTTCTTCTGAATTTTCTAAACACTAAGATAACCTAAACTTGAAATTCTATTTTTGATTATAGCAATCCAATCCAAGAATTCATAATTTCCAATGCATTTTTTTAAAAAACAAGTGCAAAATTATGCAAAGGTTTAACAAGAAGATCTCTACACAATTTTATTGTGCCCAAATCCAAATACTTCCAATAAAACTAATAATTTCCTATCCACTCCTTAATTTTCCCGACAGAGGTTAAGGTAAATAGTCAATAAACCCACCGAACGCCTAAAATTTGAAATTGTTATGTACCCAAGTTTAATGACCCATTTTTGAAATCTTTGCTATATTTTTTGGTTATTAAGCCAATTTTTATTCCCCCAGTGATCAGCACTTGAACCTGCTTGGATAACATCTATACAAATCGAAGCATATCGGTGAGCAGGTCGAACAGTGACACGAAGTCGTGGTGGAAATCAAAACTTTTTAAGGAAATAACTACATTTCGCGACAGCCGGAGAGCTTGTGTGTGCGTAAGAACTCACAGACGATGAATCATCGGATCATCTCCAACAACACTGTTGAGTCCACTGAAATTCTTAGGCAAATTTAATCGCTAATTAATCCAATTGTTATCTCCCCTAATGATCAAAAGAACAAGAAATCAAGTACTTTGCTAAAGAAAAACATATATAAAACCGAAAGAGACAGAGACAGAGACAAAGAGAGTCTGAGAGCGTGTGTGGAGCGTAAGAACTCACAGTATGATGAAAGCAAACCCAAAACGTGGGTCCGTCTCCAACAGGACTGAATCCAAAAATCAGAGATCAAAATCGACCGCAAATTTCCACAAACCCTCGGCAACCACTCCATCACAAAATTCATATCCGTCATATGCAAATCATCGTCCTCGTCCTCCACGTCATCGTACGACACCGATCGAAGCGTCGTGTCGACCCCGAACGAGACAGAAACAACGTTTCTTGAATTGAGTAGGAGGTTCTTGAAGATGGTCTTGAAGGGTGTTATAGAAGATCGCGTTTGGGGATCGCGAGACTTGGTGTATCGGCCGAAGGAGCAATGGAGGTTGATGGATTGGACTTGTTCAGAGAGAGTGTTTATTGTCTTGGAAACGAGTTTGCAGCGAGCAAGGTCGGTCGAATCGTTAAGTCGTGTTAGGATTTCTACTACAATAGGAGAAGGGAGGTCGTCCATGGAAGAAAATGGATAACGAGAGAGAGAGAGGGGCTTGTGTTAAATTAGATTCCTGGAGTAGAATCTTGAAAACCGGAGGGTTTGTCATGGCGCGTGAAACCACTTGCCTAAACATAGGAGCTTCTCAAAAGTGATGCTAAAGCTTTTATATCTATATAATAATATGGAATGGAAGTTGAATTTTAAAAATAAAGAGGGTTGAAATCGTTTTAAGATAAAATATAAATAAATTTAACGAATAAAATAATTTTAATATAAAAAACGATTCAAATTTTCTTAAAATCTTAAAACATAAATAAATTTAACGAATAAAATAATTTTAACATAAAAAATGATTCAAATTTTCTTAAAAATTTTGATCTAATAAAGTACAATAATTACCAAATTTTATTTTCCCGCGCCACCTATCTCTCACATTTCTTTTTTTACCACTCCTATCTTTTATTTAACTCTATTACTCTGTCTCATACTAACTAATATAAAGAGTTCTATCTCACATCTAATTTTATCTCGCTACCTCCCAGTAACTCAAATTCCTTCCCCTATCTCTTGCTGCCTCACCCGGCACCTCCCTCTCGCTCTCTCTTCCTTATCTCTGATCTAACTACCCAAGAGTCCTCTCTCCTCTAACTCTCTCATTTTTAAAAACATTCACTCGACACTTTTCTCTCTCTTTCCCAATCACGCCCCAATTCAGTGATATCTCTCTCCCAAATTCACGCAGCGATCTCTTCTTTTCTTAGCAGAATGTGATCTCTGTGATTTCCTTTCATACCCAAAAGAAATCTCATGCCTCTCCTAGTCTCTCCCCACAAATCTCAACATTTACACACACGCACTCTCTCTCTACCAGTTTTTCCAAATTCAAATTCGCCAGTTGCCGCTGCCCATCCACAGTCATTGCCAGTTACAGCTGCCAAGTAAATTCAGACCTTCACTTAATTTTGCCTCTCTCTCTGTGCTTCTTTTTTCTTCACTGTTCATTGTACACACACAACATACATATTGCACAATGCCTATAAAATGTTCGATCAAATGCCACAGAGGTGATGACCAACTCTCTGTGCACACTCAACGCACACACACAACACGCGCACACACACACACACGCACGTGCCACACAGCCCATACACACACACACCACACGCACACACTTAGTGCACACCTACAACATGCTCATTCTTTTGGTTTCTTTATTAATGGTTTAAACATTTCTTTTGAAAACTAACATTACATTGTGTTATTGGTTGTTTTTTAATAGTTTATAACTAGGCCAAAGCTCGAGATTAAGATCCGAATCACCTCACTGGGCTTGGTTAGGAACTACATCGCTGAGTTTGTGTTGGGTTTGAGGGCGGAGACGCAGTGACGAGAAAGGAGAGCGCAGAGAGGGAGATATGTTGGGTTTACGGTAGAAACACAGTAACAAGAGACGAAAGATGAGAGAAGGAGATGTGTTGGGTTTGGGGGTATAGACCCAACAACGAAAGAGGAGAGAGTAGAGAGGGAGATGCGTTGGGTTTGGTGGTGGAGACGCAATAACGAGAGACGAGAGAAAGGGATGTGTTGGGTTTTAGAGGGTGGAGACGCAATAAAGAGAGAGATGTTTGTGTACGAGGAAGACATAACTCAGAAGGATTTATGCACGTGTGAGGAGAGAGAAGAGTAAGAAAGAAGAAGGTGGGTCTTTGGGTCTACGGATAATTGTGTTATAATTGTGTTTGGATAATTGTGTTATAATTGTATTTGGACGTATAAATAATTGTAAAATATTAAAAATGTTCCATAATATCCTTACTTGCCTAGCATATAACGTTTTTCATCTATTATTTGAACAACAGTTAGAGGTAAGGATCATTGGATCAAAGTGAGTTAATGCGTTAACATGAATAATGAAATTGACGAATTAGAATTTTATGGATGAAAGTATAATAAGTGGTAAACCTTATGGACTATTAGTACAATTTATCCTATTTAGAATAATAAAAGTAAATAAAATTAAAAATAAATAAATTTTACTATCGTAAAATCATTTTTTTCACACAATAATTCACCACCACCACTGTTCTTATTCGTTTTTTTGATGTTTTTTAACGAAGCCTTGCCCACAAGACCTTGTTTTTCCCACGGTCAAGGAAAGGCAACATTGTTATACCACCATCGTTATCGTCGTCCACCCCTTTTCCCACCTTCATCGTCGCCCTTGATGATGCACAAAAATAGTTTTGCACACCACCTGTCAAGTGTAGGTAATAAATGCAGTAAAATCAATGAGAAAATTAAAGAAGACACAATTTATAGTGGTTCGGTCAATTCGACCTACGTCCACTCTTCAATGGCTTCAGTTGCCGAGTATTTTATTAATTCAAAGGTATGGAGAATAGAGATACAAGCTTTGAGAGAATGGAGAATCAAAGAAGCAGTGGTTGCCTTGGCACAGTCGCAAAGCGTTGACACTTGTCGCACTTTTTGGAGAACTCTTGGGCATCCCTTATCATGGTAGGCCAGAAGTAGCCCTGTCTGAGCGCCTTGTGGGCAAGGGAACGCCCTCCAGAGTGATTCCCACAGATCCCTTCGTGGATTTCTCGCAAGGCATAGTGAGCTTCTTCAGGTGAAAGACATCGTAACCATGGCAAGGAATAAACTCTCTTGTATAGAGTGTCCTGCTAGATGGCAAACTTGGAGGCCCTTATCCTTAGCTTCATGACCTCTAGGGGATCATCTGGCTGCACACCCTTTTGGAGGTATGCCCTGATTTGGGTCATCCAGTCTGACTCAATAGATACACAGTCAATATTTGTGGCCTCCATGTTCATCCTGCTCGGCTCGCACTGGTGACCAATTAGTACTGGTTCCCCTGATGAGGCTTCCATGGATGAAGTGAGATTTGCGAGTGCATCGACAGCCATATTATCCTCTCTGGGGATGTGGTTTATCTGGAAGTAGTGGAATTTTGTGATCATGTTTCTAGCCATGCTGAGATATTCTTGCATTTTGGCTCCTTTGGCTTCGAACTCGCCCCTCACTTGATTGACTATCAGCTGAGAGTCACTGTAGGTGGCAAGGTGTTGAACCTCCATTTCCATCACTAATCTTAATCCAGAAAGGAGGGCTTCGTATTCCGCCTCATTATTAGAAGCATAAAAGTGGAGCTTCATCGCGTATCTGAGAGTGGTGCCATCTGGGCTGATCAAGATTAAGCCCGCTCCTCCTCCTTCACTAGTCGAGGAGTCATCTACGTAGAGTTTTCAAAGCAGATGAGTGGAGAATTTGAAATTTGAAGTGGAAGACCGGGGGTGCAGCCTGTGGTGCCTGGGCATCCAGAGGTGCAGCCTGTGGTGCAGGAGCTAGAGGTGCAGCCTGTGGTGCCTGGGCATCCGGAGGTGCAGCCTGTGGTGCCTGGGCATCCAGAGGTGCAGCCTGTGGTGCAGGAGCTAGAGGTGCAGCTTGTGGTGCCTGGGCATCCGGAGATGCAGCCTGTGGTGCCTGGGCATCCGGAGGTGCAGCCTGTGGTGCCTGGGCATCCAGAGGTGCAGCCTGTGGTGCAGGAGCTAGAGGTGCAGCCTGTGGTGCCTGGGCATCCGGAGGTGCAGCCTATGGTGCAGGAGCTAGAGGTGCAACCCGGGATGCCTGGGCATCCGGAGGTGCAGCCTGTGGTGCAGGAGCTAGAGGTGCAGCCCGGGATGCCTGGTCATCAGAAAAAATTGTTTGGGCTCCTGGGGAGGAGACTTGGGCACCTGCTTGAGGGTCTTTGTTAGGCTTCTTGATGTCTCCGTTGGGCATTTGGGGATCCTCATCGTTCCCATATTCTGTTGGTGTGAGTTCAGCTACGAAATCTGCTACGGCTTATGCTTTGATGGCCGTCCTAGGTTGGTACTGAATGTCGAACTCCCCGAGTTCTACTGCCCATTTAAGAAGTCTGCCAGATACGTCCGGCTTTCCCAATATTCTTTTAAGAGCTTGGTCGGTGATGACCACCATACGATGGCCCTGGAAGTAGTGCCGCAGCCGTCTCGCTGTCGTGACCAGAGCGAGTGCCAGCTTTTCTAGTGCTGAATATCTGACCTTTGCCCGCCGGTATGCCTTACTCACGTAATAAACTGGTTTCTGCACTCCATTGTCGTTTCTAACGAGCACTGAGCTTACCGCTGATGGGGAAGCAGAAAGGTATAGATGGAGAGTTTCTCCAGGGGTAGCATGTGACAGGAGGGGAGGTGCTGCTAGGTAGGCTTTGAGCCTTTGAAAAGTCTCATCTGCCTCAGGTTTCCACTCAAAGGCTTTCGGAGAGTTTTGAAAAAAGGGAGACATTTGTCTGCAGATTTGGAGACAAACCTATTTAATGCTGCGATTCTTCCATTGAGGCGCTGGAGCTCCTTGGTTGAGAAGGGTGACTTCATGTCAAGAATGATCTTGATCTTGTCAGGGTTCGCCTCAATTCCCCTCTGATTGACCATAAAGCCCAGGAATTTACCAAACCCCACACGAAAGGCGCACTTCTCAGGGTTGAGCTTCATGTGATAGGACCTCAGGACGTTGAAAGTTTTTTGGAGGTGATCAATGTGGTCTACTGCTGCAAGGCTCTTTACCAGCATGTCATCCACGTACACCTCCATTGTTTGCCCGATTTGAGACTGGAACATCTTGTTCACCAGCCGTTGGTAGGTTACTCCGGCGTTCTTTAGCCCAAAGGGCATGACCCTGTAGCAGTATGTCCCATTTGGCGTGATGAATGATGTCTTCTCTTGGTCTGGGGGATGCATGCTAATCTGGTTGTACCCTGAGTATGCGTCCAGGAAAGTGAGCAACTCATGCCCAGCTGTGGCGTCGATGAGGAGGTCAATTCGCGGCAGTGGATAATTATCTTTTGGGCATGCCTTGTTTAGTTCTGTGAAGTCGACACAGTGGCGCCACTTCCCATTAGCCTTAGTAACCATTACTACGTTGGAGAGCCACTCCGGATACGCCACTTCCCTGACCGCCCCGTTATCAATCAGCTTTCTAACCTCCTTGTCCATGGCTTGGGCCCTTTCAGTGGAGGCTCCCCTTAACTTTTGGCGAACAGGCTTTTACAGTGGATCGACATTGAGGCGGTGGGTAGCTACTTCCGGGTCGATGCCCTCAAGGTCCTCATGTGACCAAGTAAAGATGTCCATATTACGCTTCAAAAAATCAACCAACAGGGGAGCCAGCTCTTCAGAAAGGGAAGAGCCAATGTAAATTCTTCTGTCTGGGTGCTCCTTTTCTAAGACCACAGGGATGAGTTCCTCGACTGGTTCTCCTCTTTCTGTTGCGGAGTCATCCCTTGGGTCAAGGACCTCAACCTGCAATGTTTCTTGGGGCTTCCTAGCCTTCATAGAGGATACATAGCACTCTCTGGCTGTTATTTGGTCCCCTTTGACCTCTCCGACTCTATTTGAGGTTGAAAAGAGGAGAACGAGATGGTAGGTAAAGGGCACAGCTCTTAATGTGTTAAGAGTTGGCCGCCCTAATATGATGTTGTAGGCTGACGGGCACTCTATTACCAGGAAATTGACCATGACTGTGGAGCTTCGGGGTGTTACTCCGGTGGTGACGGGAAGTGTGATGATCCAAGGGGATACACCTTTTTCCCTGAGAATCCAATGAGGGGTGACCTGATTGGCTGTAGCCTCTCCCTGCCCAGGTTGAGCTTGTTATAGGCCTCTGCAAATAGGATATCTGCAAAGCTGCCACTATCCACCAGGATCTTGTGCACATGAAAATTGGCCATCGTCATGGTGAGCACCAAGGGGTCGTCATGGGGGTGCTGGATTTCCCCCAGGTCCTTGTCTGAAAAAGATATGACCTCGTCGCCTCCCTGCTTCGGCACCTTAGATGGGCGCATCTCGTAGACATGTCTTGCCTTCCTAGCATGGGCCTTCATCGTGGAAAGTGATTCTCCCCCTGAGATGGTGTGGATTTCTCCCACGGGCTGCTGATCTTCCTGGTTGTGAGGTTGTGGTGCTCGTTCCCTTCCAGCAACGTACTGAAGTAACTGACCACGCTGGATGAGCTCCTCAATTTGCCTCTTGAGGTTGTAGCAATCGTCGGTGTCATGCCCGTGGTCACGATGGAAGCGGCAATACTTGTTAGGATTTCTGTGATTTGGAGGAGACTTCATTTTTCCAGGCCACTTTATCGCGGGGTCATCCTGGATCTGGAATAGGATGTGTTCCACGAAAGCATTGAGGGGAGTGAAGGGTTGACGGTTCCTTTGAGGAGCAGGATCTAGCCGGTCCTTAACAGAGACTTTCTCTGTCCTGCCATGTTTGTTGTTGGTCCTCTTCTTATCGTCCCTCTCCATTTCCTTCCTTTTCCCCCTGCTCTGGAAAACTCACCCCGCCTGGCCCTTGTGATGTCTTCTGCGTTTATGTACTTTTGAGCTTTGGCTAGCAGCTCTGGCATGCTCTTCGGTGGGCGCTTCAGAACTGAGAAAAGGAAGCTTGATGAACGGAGGCCACCCAAGAAGGCGGTCATCGTCACCTTGTCGTTGGGTTCATCAGCTTGGAGTACCTCCTCGTTAAAACGAGTGAGGTAACTCCTCAGACTCTCCTCGCGGTCCTGCTTTATACTAAGTAGGTGCGTAATTCACTTTTGGTGGCGACGCTCTCCAATGAAGTGTGAGACGAATGATCTGCTAAGCTCGGCGAAAGAGGTAATATAGGCGGGGGAGAGCTTAGCAAACCACTGTCGGATAGACCCCTTTAACGTGGTTGGGAATGTCCTGCACATGATTTCGTCTGGTACGTTATGCAATTGCATCAAGGTCTTGTAAGTGTCGAGGTGGTCCCGTGGATCCTTTGTTCCATCAAAGGTCTCCACATATGACATTTTGAACTTCTGAGGGAGGGGGTAGTTTGTTACATCAGGTTTGAAAGGTGTATCAATACGCTTTACCAGGTGGTCAACAGTCTCGGGTCCCTGTGCCTTCATGGCGTTGAAGACATCACCGAATTGATTTTGTACCTCCTTTATCTTCTCATCCTAATGATTGGGGCTCCTCTGGAATGATCATGGGAGTGGCTTCCATGCTCTATGCTTTGGTTTTCACCCTCATCCTCCTGGAGATAAGGGTCCTCTCCTTAGGAAACAAGGGGAGGGGGAGGTGGAGCTCCCTCATGTTGGGCTTCTCGAAGTGGGGTGCCCAATGGGGCGCCCGAGAGTGGAGCAACAGGGCGTGGTGCTCTATGTTGTGCACCTCCGTGGGGCCCTCCATGTTGTGCACTTCCGTGTGGTGCTTCACGTTGTGCACCTCCGTGTGGTGCTCCTCCTTGTCCAGCAAGTATGGGTTGCAGTAACTGTTGGTTTTGAGCAATCAGTTGCTGCATGATCTCCAATATTTGCTGGGGGTTCGGAGCTAGAGTATCCGGAACATGGTTGATAGGCGGGGGAGCAATCTCCTCCTCTCGTGGAGGATTGTCTTCATGTTGGTTCATGGATCGAGTAGTGATCGTCATTAGTTAATGGATGTAATGTTCAGGAGTGAGAATTTTGTCGTTTCCCACAGACGGCACCAAACTGATGATACACAAAAATGGTTTTGCACACCACCTGTCAAGTGTAGGTAATAAATGCAGTGAAATCAATGAGAAAATTAAAGAAGACACAATTTATAGTGGTTCGGTCAATTCGACCTACATCCACTCTTCAATGGCTTCAGTTACCGGGTATTTTATTAATTCAAAGGTATGGAGAATAGAGATACAAGCTTTGAGAAAATGGAGAATCAAAGAAGCAGTGGTCTCCCGTCGTCGGTCTGTCTTCTATAAGTGTTGGTGGGGTGTGCCATTTATAGTAGTCTCCTAACAGATTGAGGCTACTTTATATCAGCTAAGAGATCATTCTTGTAGAGATGATGACTTATCCTCAAGGCTACTTTATCGCAGCTAAGAGATCATTCTGGTGGAGATCATGACTTATCCTCAAGGCTACTTTATAGCACTAAAAGATCATTCTGGTGGAGATCACGACTTATCCTCAACGGAAGGAGGAGGTTGGGGAGCTCTTCATGAAACGCGGTCAAAGATTGGACCGTTTCCTTCGGTAGTGCAGATAAGCTTCTCATGCTCTCATCTTGATGACGTGCTAAGCGAAAAGTCTAACCGGTCTTGGACTGTCTTTGGCTTGGTGGATTCAAAATGAGGTCGGGCTCCTCAACTGGGGTTGGACTTTAACACATAAATTGGACTATTTGGGCTTAACTCATCAGCCCCCACCACCACAGTCATCACCCCACCGCTATGAAGCACGGATACGAATACAGGTACGGAGATACGACAAAAAAAAAGAAAGGATACGGGTACGGTTAGAATACGTCCATAAAATATATATATTTTAAAATTTTATTATTATATTTAATGTAATAATTATAATTTATAAAGTAAATTACACTTCTATCAAAAATATATAATAATAACTAACCATCAGAGTCAGTCGATCGTCGGTGTGAGTAAGAGAGAGAGAGAGACGATCGTCGTCGAGTATCGACTGAAGGGAGTGGGGGGCTTGACGGGCTGTGGAAGAAAAATGTACAGGTTTTAGTCTTTTAGACTTTTAGTTTAATAATATATTTTTTTTGGGCAAATAAGGGCCTAAATATATTGTTCTTGTCCCCCTATACTTTTTTAAAAATTGAGTAATACCCCGCCGTATCCTTATGCATATCCTAGGCGTATCCCACGCGTATCCAAAACGTATTCGGTCGTATCTGAAAACTAATTTTTTTTTTTTAATTTTAGGATACTTCTCAGATGTATCCGGTACGTATTCGACGCGTATCCGATGCGTATCCGTATCCAAAAATATCCGATACGGATACTTTGACTCTTTTGAACTATCCGTACTTCATAGCCCCACCGTTACCATTGTCGTCGTCACTACCACCGCCCATCATCAACTCACACTTTTTGATAAAGTACTTTTTATTTTAGTGTTTTTTTTTGTTTGAACATCCAAACAGTATTAATTTAAATTATTATTTTTATAAAAATACTTTTAAAAAATACTTATTTAAGAAATATTTTTTAAATTTTATAACTTATCCGAAATGCAACCTTAATTATTTATTGTCTTTAGATTAATAGTGAGTCCTTGTATACATTATTAGTGAGTCTTTAATCCAATGATACTCTTTATCTTGTAAAAATTTTGTCTTGTTGAAATCACGAGTTTGTTACGCGATATATGCCGGTGATATCTTGACAACTAACTACTGGGTGTAAATACAAAAGCGAGATATGCCGATGACATCTCGACGACTCACTACTGGGTGCCATAGAACTTCTCATAGAAATATGATATCTCGACGACTCACTACTGGGTGCCATAGAACTTCTCATAGAAATATGATATCTCGACGACTCACTACTGGGTGCCATAAAACTTCTCATAGAAATATAACGCCTACTTTCTACGATCCAGCCAAATCTTTGGGTGGGCTCTGCTCACCAACTCTTCCATTAAACAACTTTACATAACGCTGTTCCTGTGCCTAGGCTGCGTAGCAATGCAAAATAACTGGGAAGGAAGTTAGTTTGGTTGGACCCTCAGACCTATATTTCTTATAGGAGCTCAGGACACGAAATTCAAAATCATTGGAGGCTTGCGGCAAGCCGATTTGAGGGCAATTTTGTCAAAAGGCCAAGAACAAACCACAAGCAAATCCGCGGGTACAAAGTAAATTTGGATTAGTAGGACTGTTAAACAAGTCAAGTTTGAACATTTTTTAAAACTCATTTATGTGTAAATGGTTAAACGAGCAAGTTCGTTTATATGTAAATTCAATTCGATTTAAGTTTGAATTCAACTCGATTAACACCCCTATTTAGATGTAAGCAATTACAAAGTAAGTCACTCATATCGAGTCAATCAAACGTCTTCTGTGAGATTTAAAGTTAAATCTAGAAGCTAAGGCAATAACCCTTACGCTTTCTCATATGAGCTACCTGGATGCTGGATCCATAGCAACTATAACACAAACTTGAAACGCAAGCTCTCCTGGACAAACTATATACATCGAGTCAACCAGATATGTGAGACGAAGGAACCTAAAACTAATGCACGACAGGTGGGAAAAAAACCTTATAGATTGCCTGAAATTATCCATGCTAGTAGAAAACACAAAGCTACTTTGCCACTTGCGGTCAACAAATCACCAAATAATGGCCAAAACTCTAACTAGTTGCACCAACGGCCATGCACCCAGGGCCAAAGCTGTGACTATTTAAATGACAAAGCAGGTAAGATACTATGGTGCTAACTTTGTGGGTGGCTGAAGCGACTACAAGGATATACAGAGTGGACAAACAATAAAAGGCCACTTCAATGTGTAAATTGAAGCATTAGTCAATTCCTAACCAAGTGCATTGAAATTTCTTTTCATATATAGTTATGTCATAAACATTACAGTTTTCAAGTTTCGACAGGAAACCTGATTTACTTTAGATTCAAGTGATAGATCAGTATAGACGCTTACAGATAGTAATCCCATCACCAAGTGGAGCATGAGAAATTTGAATACGCGGATCAGCTGCCAATGATTTGTTAAGCTCAATTGTATAATGCTGGCCAGGTTTCATCCATTCTGGAACCGACTCCTCGGGCATTGCAACTGTTCCACCCCAGAGTGTGTTATCATACACAACTATCCCACCAACCCTCAACAATTTCAACAATCTTTCATGATAATTCAGATAATTGATTTTGTCCGCATCAACAAAAGCAAAGTCAAAACTTCCTTCACTGTCACTCTGCAACAAAGCCCACGATAGAATGAACCAAAAATGATATGCCTAATGATAGAAAGCAAGGAAACGAGTTCAAATTGCATCAACCACGATCGAGAACCAACAATCTAAGATGGTTAATCCTTACAGTCTCCAACAGTTTATCAAGAACTGGTAGAGCCTCAGACTGGATGAAGTTGATTTTGTGCTCCACCCCAGCTTTTTTAATAATTGGCAACCCTATCTCATATGTATCCCAATTCAAATCTATGGCTGTAATCTGCAATAATGTATCTTTAATCACAAATGTATCATGAAATAGATTCATTAGACAGACTGGCGATGGGTAGCAGTGAAAACCTTGCCATCATCCGGAATTGTAAGAGCAGTGAGAAGCAGTGAGTAGCCAGTGAAAACTCCAATTTCAATTGTCCTTTTAGCATTTACAAGAGTCAAGAGCATGGCCATTAGTTGACCAGAATCAGGAGAAGTACCCATCATTGCTCTGGAAAATAACAAACTCATTATCTACATGGCTGCAAATAGCAACATCATTATGAATAAAAATGCTATTAATTCAGGAAGCTGCATGAGCCACCTATTATACTATCTAGCGGTGCAGAATCTGTTAAGTCAGCTGTAATTTCAACACCGCATGGAGTTGAATTATTCAGTTTTGATTCCCAACAAGTTTGAACTCAGTCTAGCAGCCATTTTAGAGAATTGAACAAATCCTTCTATTTTCTTCACACGGATATGTTCATACAACATTCTGAACCAATATTTGTCACAACTCATTATTTTTCTTAACAATTTCCTATGATGTGTATTAGAAAAATACATAGTTCTTTCTAAATTTGGTGATATTGATTACCCTATTCTTTTTCTTTTTTTTAAACAAGATATTGATTACCCTATTCAATGGAGCAAAAATTGTATAAAACACCAGATAAAGCAAAAAAAGTTTATATAAAACAGCAATACCTTGGGTGGGTAGCAGTAACAGCCCTTAACTCCTTCAGGGGCTTGGGTTCACGAGGGTAAACACTGGTCTCCAGGAGATACTGCCTCATTGACAAAGCATCAGCTTAGTTTCTGAAAAAGGCAAACCAGAGGAAAATAAAACAGGATGCAAGAGTACCTCATATAATTCTTCACTCTGCAATAATCCTTTGGAAGAAGTTGATACTTTCTTTGTTTTGTCTTCCATTGCTCTCAAACTACTTTGGCAAGAATTCTGACAGTGTACAGAAAGAGATGAAAGAGATGTCACATATTTTTTTAATAGAGCTCATGGACTTGCACGCTCCATTTTTTGACATTACTCCCAGTATTTCTGTAGGTCATTCATTATTTCTACTCAACTGTACCCTTCACTTGTGATATAAACCTGTACATGAATCAGGAGATGACCTGAATGTTTGTAGGATGATTTTCAATAATGAGTGTTTTGGATAGGTTTTTCATCCAAGTGCTTTATGCTTCAAGTGTTACTAATAAGGATAAAATCCTTTCCAAGAATTTCTTTTGGTCATGCTTTGAAGATCCACTGGTATAACTGCACTACAACTTTTTCATCCCTGAACGAGTGACGTTGGGAGAGATTAGTCAACTGTGACAAAGTTCTAATTTTTCGCTCTTAATCCATTCAACTTGCCTAAACAAAATATTTCCACCAAAACCAAGCATAGTTTTCTTTGGTTTTTATTCTTACTTGAGTACATAGTCCTATCACGCGTCTTAGTTTGCTCTCCTCACATTCTTTAGTGCATTCAACTCCACAGAATCAATAATCCATCTCAAAGCCATGACCAGTTTTCTTCAAACATGTTAACGATCTCAACAATAATCTTTTCTATGCTATCATTCCAAACTATGCATGTGTAAATGCTCAAAAGTTTATCATCCCCAAGTAGAATGAACTGATCATAGAAATATCCATTTAGGCTACAATTATCACAACACTTCGACCCTTTACTAGTCTATTGATTATCTTCACAGGATTTTACAACTAGTTTGACTAGAACGCCATGGACTCAACTACAAACCTTAAAATAAAGACATAGAAGCTCCCATCTCAAATCCCTTTACTTTAACCTGAGTTCAAAATGATTCTCAGTTTTTCTCATCTGACTGGTTTTTAATTTTCATTGAAGCTCCTAGACTTCTCCTATTTGTTGTGAAGGTACCAGCTAGCTTGATTGGTAAACTCACCTAGGTTTTGTAAAGATAGCAAATTTCAAAAATTTCCAGGAACTTGATTACCCTCTTCACTTCCTAAAACAAAAATTATTGTCTTAAACAAAGGGAGGAAACAAAAAATCCTCTGCTTGTCATAAACAGTATTCATGGCAAACCCTTTGCAGTCCTCTACTTGTTTTTCAAATGAAACAAGATATCAGATCCAAGATTCTAGCCAGTCTGATAATTAAAACATGCAATAGTTGTCCCTTTGGGAACATCCGATAAAATTGGAATGATACAAAGAAGATTAGCATAGCACAAATTGAGAAGTGGTCCAAATTTTTTAACCTGCTGAAAAAAATATGCTATAGTTAAATCTCAAGTCATCATGATCTCTTTGATCTTTCAAGAAAAATAAACAAAAAATGTCATCATGATCTGTTGCATGCCCAAGAATTCTTCCTAAATCAGTCGCTGAATTTTAGATCAACTGGTAGAAATCTAAGAAAAACACTTGAAAAGGAGAAACAAATTACTTATTGTAAACTGTAAAGGACACTGGTAGTTTATACGTAAGCGAAAAACCAAGCAAGATGAAATTCGATGATAGAAGTATATAATCATTAAATTGGAATTGCTTTATTCAATCTATACAAATCTATCACCACCAATATGAATTTGAGATTGCAATTGTCCTTATATACATGAATGCAAGCATTGCTTCTTAAATAACAGATAATCATTCTAGAATCAATTTGCATATCCACAATTGTGTGTGTGTGTGTGTGTGTGTGTGTGTGAGAGAGAGAGAGAGAGAGAGAGAGAGAGTACCCCAGATGTTGTGGCATGAGAAAAGATGGTGGGTCTGAACTCTTAGCTCCGAAACTCTGTACATATAGATGTAGAACATTTCTTTATTTGGAGAATCTCTTCAAATGCTTTTATTTGTCGTTATTAATAGGGGTTTTTGCATTTTGCACCCTAATTTGTTTTAAAGTTTTTTATTTTTAACCCTCAAAAATTAAATTATTTACATTACGATATCAATATATCAAAAATTTTGCAATGTGACTTTCTGTTAGCTTTTGTTAATTTTTCGTAAAAAGCTAACTCACTAATACCGATAAAAAAATTTAACAAAAATAATTTAATATTTGAAGATATAAAATAAAAAAACTTGAAATATTCTAGGGTATAAAATGAAATTCACCCTTATTAATATAGCCATTAAACAATTTTGTTTTTTTTTTTAATTTTTTTTTTGTTTTTAATATTTATTTTTCTTTCAACCAAAAGGTTGATCATGCACAATAATTTATTGTGAAAATTGGAAATGAGTCCCCCTAGATATATTTATTTGGAGATAAGTCCTGCAAGAAAACTTATAAGGGGTTAAGTTCATGTTTAAAAATATTTATAATGACTTAAGTCCATTTTTTTTTTAATTTCAAAAATACATTTCCTTGAAAGGAAGTTAATCTTTTATCTCTCATATCTATCTATATCCATATATAGGTTAACTAACATTAAAAAAAAAAAATTCTCTTATTTATCTATATCTATATATAGGTTAAGTATATATATATATATATATATAGAGAGAGAGAGAGAGAGAGAGACATTAAAAATTAAAAATAGTAGCATTCAAATATAAAAAAAAGTTACTATGAATTTGAATAGTAAAATTCAAATTCATGTTACTATTATTTTTGAGCATATTATTGTTTTTGTTGATCATATTACTACTATTATTTTCCTAAATATTAATATTCAATGTTACTATTTTTTGTACTTGAATGATACTATTTTTTACGTTTAAATTTGAGAGAAATAATTATTATTAAATATGTTACAGTTTTTGTTAAGTATGTTATTATTTTTGTTGAACATATTACTGTTATTATTTTTAAAAATATTAATATTGAATATTTTATTTTTTTTATATTTAAATGTTACTATTTTTTTATATTTTAATGTTAACCAATCTCTTAACCTATATATGGATATAGACAGATATCAGAGAAAAAAGATTTTAATGTTAGTCAAATTCCTAAAATTTATGAGTTTTTAATTTTTAGTTTTATTTCACTTCTAAAGGGAAGAAATAGTATGGTAAATTTGACAAAAAAATGAACTTTATAACAAATAAGTTTCTTTAACGGATTTAAGTCCATATAGGAAAACCAGCCTTCAAAATTTCCTAATTTTTTTAGGTCCTGTCATTTATAAGTGGATCCTACAATCATACACATTAAGGGTGACTCACACTTGATTGAAATTATAAAAAAATTAGTAATTGCCCGTGCCGTGTAACAAAAAATTAAATTAAAAATAAAAAATACTACATTACCATTACCTAAATACTATTAACAACCTAAAACAACTTGTCAATTTGAAATCAAGGTAGTCCATACTATTATCCAGAAATTTCGGCAAAATTTTCTCTAAAAATAGGAACGTATAAAAATTTAAATCTGTATACCGAACTTACAATTATACATAACAATCATTATAATTCACCATACCACCACAATAATAAATACATACACAATCATCAACACATATCCAACCACCAAAACATCCAGCTAATCCCTACTAATTTAACAAATTTCGACAGAATTTTCTCTAAAAATAAAAGCCCAAAAATTTTGAATCTGGCTACAAAACTTACAACCATCATTCCATTCATACCCAACTACCATATTACCACAATTATCATAATACACCATATCACCACAATTATCAATACATACCCAACCACCACAACAACCACCATTTCTTACCCAAAATTATCATAACTATGTGTAATTAGTTAATTGTACAAAAGACGGAACACAAAAAATACACACATGCACAAATAGAGAAACATCTTCAATTTCATCTTCACATCATTCCATGTATACCTGAAAAAATTTGAAACATAAAAATTATCGAAATATGTGAGGCAAAATAAAATAATTGTAAATCCGAAACATAAGACCCTTTATTTTTATTGTTAATTGGATTCAACATAATTTTTGCCATCAATTTCATTACACTGAATTATCTAAAAAATTAATGAGCACACACATTTGTATGTAGTGGGGGAGGGGGAGGGAAGATTTATATTGATAATATAGGTAAAAATTTAGAGAGACTGTAAGAGATAATCAATTTATCTAGAAAAATATATGAAAGAGTGTAGAGAAAGACTTACGATCAAATAATCGAGCTCTTATCGAATTGGTATGATGTAGGAGAGAAATAGCATACAACATTTCTATGTAGCATTTCAACAAATGGTTCATACAATATTAAAATGGCATTTCGTCAACTTTGTTTGTATTGAATGCCAAAATTCTCGTCACACGAACTACATCACTTTGATACCTTGTTTAAGGGCATCCAATCCAAAATCGTTGGGCTATGATGGGAGAGATTCATCAGAAACATATATTAGTTTGAGATGTGTTTTTTTTTTTCTGAAAAGTTACATTGAGATGTGTTATTATGTCAATGTGAAGCAAGATTTAACATCCCCCTTAAATAGAAAATATAGTCGATAGTGAGATTGAAACAAAATGAATAAAATTGAAATGAATAAATTTCTAGAATTATAAAATCAAAGCAGGCAAGACCATTAGTGTCAAAAAAATGCAATTAAATGTCCAATTCGAATCAAATCTAAAGTTAGAAAAAATCCATAATATAAAATAAGAAAATCAAACCGAATTCACAAATCCACGTTGAACCTAATCAAATCAAATTCAAATTCAACCTAACCAAACGACGTTCACAAAATTGAAATTGAACAAAGTCCAAGATGAGTGTATGGGCAAGAGAAATGATATGTTCTAATTCCCATCCTCTTAAATCCAATAATCCCAATTATTTTAACTCCAATTACTCTAAAATCAACCACAAACTAAATCCAATAATCCTAATCACATACTAATTCCAATAATGCGTTGTGTGTGAGAGAAAGAGACATGTGAGAGAATATAAGTGTAAATTGCAAACATAATGCATATTCACCTCAATTTTAAACTCTTAACTGTATTTAGGCAATCTCATATTGAGCAAAATCACAACAGAATAGGACTAAAATGTTAAATCAAAAGCCATAGAATTTACTGAATACATCAAGCATTCACCAAGTTATGTTTTCTCCATTCACATACCAAGCAATTTCATCTCCTCTCTGATATTTGCGTTCACCACCACCATAAAACACACCAAAAATCAATAGTGATAGACAAACAATAACAAAATTGTATAATAAAAACTAATAAAAGGATTGGAAGAACCATAAAGAAAGCGCACTTGATATGGGTCATTTAACTTACCACTAATTCAACCGACCCAATAACCCATTCACACATATTTGCAATTGTGTTTAATTGTGAATCTGTGAATTTTGTCTTGCATCAATATCCAACTCTATGTATTTGTTACTCTATGTGAATGAAAGTCAACAACTATGCTACATGCGCCTTCCAATAAAAAAATCTATTCAATCCAAGTAACAGCGATAAGAGGCGCAAATGTAATACATTGTAGAGGAATCACAAAAATGCATTTGACGGCTTGTTCTAGTACCTAATATAATTATTAAATTCACATTAGATTGAATTTAAGCTAACCCAACATAAAATTGAAAAAGTCAAACAAAGTGTAAATCAATTAAAATTTAGTGAAAGAATCAATTAAAATCCAAGAAAAACATAATTTCAACACATTATACCCCAAAAAATAGGTACACAAAATTTCTCTAGGTCATTCCAACAAACACTTGGAATCAGAGTAAAAATAGAATTTTACACGACAAATCATAATAAAAATAGAATTTTACAATATTTGAAGGAGTTTTTATTTCCTTTTTTTCAAATGGGATAATTTTGATTTTTTTTTTCTTAGTATGCCATAAAAATTTGGACAGAAGTTAATTATATGGGTAATGTGAAAATGAAACGAATAGTTTAAAATTTAATGCAACAGATAACATAGTACTATAGTGTAGGTAGCTAAAGTATAATTTTCTCTCATTCTAGTCATCACCTACAAATATCATATTTGAATTGGAAAAAAAAAAAAAACTGACAACCTTTACGGTGTCTTTTAAGCCTTGTAGCTCCACTGTATAGCCGTCAACCTTACATATGCGTGTCACCAAGAAGATCTTGTGAGTGACCCAAGATCTTGAGAGCATTTAGAGGAGACCCAATAGTCGTTAACTCCTCTTTATCAGGAACAACAAAAACCCTATAATTCAAAAGGTCTTGTAAGTGATTTCCATTAATTTTTTTTTATTTCTGTATGGGTGAATTTCTTCTTTGATTAGAAGTTGTTAGTTAGATTATTTGTTTTTCTGTTTCTGGTGTGAATTTTTTTTAATAATTAGAATTGGGTTAGTGTCTTCCAACTTTTCTCGACATTGTTTTCATTTGGAACAAATTTTTTTGGGTGGGTTTGTTTGTGATGTGTGTGTGGGTGAGTGGGTGTAGGTGTGGGTGTTTGTTTCTGCTCTATGTGTGTGTATAAGCGATGTGTGTGAGGTGGGTGCGTGTGTGCTGGGTCTGTGTTGGGTGGGTGTGCTGGGTTTGTTTGTGTGTCTGTGCGATTTGTGAGGGTGAGGGTGGGTGATGAGTGTGTATGTGTGTGCAATGTGATTGTGTGTGTGAGAGAGAAGTGAGCGAGAGAAGTATGGGTGATGTTGAGTAGAAGAGGGTAGAGAAGAGGTGCGGGTCGGATGGGGGGTTAGTGTGTGTGTGTGAGAGAGAGAGAAAAGGCATATCTGGGAGGGGTTAGTGGTGTTGCTGAGCAGTGGCGGGGAGGTGGTGTTACTGGTGGTGTCGCGGGAGCGTAAGAGAGAGAGAGAGAGAGAGAGAGAGAGAGAGAGAGCGGATGGGAAA